CATCGCAGAGGATATTGACCTCCAGGGACAAGGGCTTGCGGACAAGAGGCAGTGAGTCATTAAACAAACGCTGTGTCTCACATGGGTTTTCAATTTCATAGCAAGACCTAGTTTATGGTCACAGGCTGCTGACGTCCCCAGAGAGCTACCACTTAAGAGCCCTGAAGCACAGTGGGTTACAAGTTGGGCTCCTAACCCAAGATTGGCAGTTCAATACCACGCCCTGCCCCTCAGGAAAAAGAGGAGGCTGTCTACTCTGGAATGATTTATAGTCTTGGAATCCCACAGGGGCAGTTTTACTCTGTCCTGTAGGGTTGCTATGGGTTAGAAGAGACTCAGGGACAGTGCTATCTATCTGGCACCACCACCACCCCTCCCACCCTGCACTCAGCTCAGACTGGCTGGGGCAGCCTTCAGTCTGGACAATTCACAGGCTAATTCTGCACAGAGGAAGTAATTGCTAAGTGCCAAGCCTCCTGCTAGGAGCTAGGAGGGACAGAGGAATCAATCAACTGGAGGAATTTCAAAATTTTCATCTGTTTTGGCAAGGTAGCCGTCACCTGGATAATATTAATCGCAGTTACCATGGACTGAATCCTGCATGCGCAGGGCTAAAGCCAAATATATTCTCTCACCCTCCGAGGTTGGAACTGCAGTTAGGCTCAGAGGGCGAGGCAGGGGCGACTCAGAGCTGTTGCCCACTGTCACACAGCCAGGAGATAGAAGCTCCCAATTGGACCTGCCACCCCTGTCTCCCAGGCTTCCTTGGTCCAAAGGAAGGCAGGAAGTAGGGGACAGAGAGGAAAGGACAAGGTCCTGGGTGAGACCTCTCAGGAGGGTGAGTGGGAGGGTGTCCCTGCAGCCCTGAGGAATCAGCTGCTCTTTGCCCTCTGCCCACAGGTCGGCTGGTGATGGAGCGGAAGCCGTGGATATCTGTAAGTCCTTGGCTGTGAGCTGGGGGAGGTTGCCCTGTGCTGGGAAGACTAGGCTGGGTCTCCAGAACGGCAGGCACATTGGCCTGAGGGTCCTGCCTCATAGGCAAGCCCACAACCTCCTCCCTC